TGCCTGAAAGAACAAGACATTTAAAAAATATAATACTTTTCTCTATTATCATACATTTTATCCCAAATTCTTAATTATTATTATTAGACATAATTCATTATTGAACCATGCATAAACATATTATATTCAAAAGAGAGGAGATGGTTTAAGCCAGATGTAGCTATTAGCTCATTTCCACACTAACACACACATTCATCTACCAGGCACCACCATCACATTCTCTATCACATAAAAAAAAAAATGTAGATATCAAAGTAAGGATCAACTTATAAATACCAGCACATTAATAGAAAAATATATCCAGATTGATCGTTAATTGAAGTTGTATTTGTAACCCTGGCTTCCCTGCCTGTGTTTCAGGAGGAGTACGAGGACTCCAGCGGTAACGTGGTGAACAAGAAGACCTACGAGGATCTGAAGAGGCAGGGTCTGCTGTAGACGCACAATAAAGAAAAAAACATCCAACGATCGTCCTCTAAGATTTGCTATATTTTTTATCAGCCATGTTTCTTTTTATTTGTAAGTAGAAATGTTGTTTTCCAGTCTCCACCCCCTTATTCCTCCCTTTGACAAATTGCTAATGTGGGGACCATCGATCACTATAATAAACTTTTGTCACAGTGAGCTTTGTCTTCATCTCTGTTTGTTAATGTTCCTCTGAGCCGGCCAGCTAACCAATCAGAGCAGACTGGGCTCTGGTTTCAGACAGAGGGTGAAAAGAGGTGCTGCAGCACAGGCAGTATGAGAAAAATAAAGAGCTGTTTGAACTTTAAAGCATGGAGACACGTCACAGTAGAGACACTACATACTGATATACACCTGAACATCAGCAGGAGAGGACTCTTTAAAGTAGAGACACTACATACTGATATACACCTGAACATCAGCAGGAGAGGACTCTTTAAAGTAGAGACACTACATACTGATATGAACCTGAGCAGAAGAGGACCCTCTCCGGCTCTCTTTTCTCGTTGGACCTTATTTATTTTTTGTTTTAAGTGGCTTATGTTACATTTTTGCAACTTTGATTGAACGGGTTTATTTCCCATTCTTCATCATGGCTCATGAGTCAGGGATCAGTTTGTCATATGCGTTAACTTGCTAGTTTTAGTAACAAAATACTAGAAAGCACAACTTTTTGATTACCGATATATCATTAATTGATTTTTACCAAAATTAGAAGATAATTTAAAGGGGACCTATCATGCAAAATGCACTTTTTTATGTCTTTTATATATAAATATGTGTCCCTGGTGTGTCAGGGAACTCACGCAGCGTCAGAAAATAAAACCCTCTCTCTTTTCCTCCGTACCCAAATCTCTAAAAACGGGGCTACAACGGAGCTGATCCAGATTTGCGTCCGATATGACGTAATATCGGAAATGTGGACCCACGGCCCTATCAGAAACGTTGCTATCAGAAACAATGCCCGACTGTTTTGGACGTAATATGGTCGGTGTTTACATTAGCATCGCTAACACTCAGAGCTAACCTGTACTGGAGAGCATGTGTGTGAAGAAGCAGGAAATAAAAAGGAACTCACATTGTGGTATAACCGGCAAGAGAGAAAGCCTTTGAGCTCCATACTGTTTCAGAAATAATCCTTGATAATCCATGATATGGCGTTTCATCACGGCAGTATTTAGTTTAGACAGTAGCTGCCGGGTCCCGCATGAGCTCAGCCCCCTCCCTTTTTATTTTGTATCAATTTCCTTTTTTTTATAGCTTTATACCCAAAATCAGCACTTTTGAAACAGGAAGTGAAATAGAGGGATATGAGGCATGGCTAGAATGGGTGATCTGTTTGGTATTTTGAGCAAAAAACTTCATAGACATGTTTTTTATATATTTGTATATATCTGAGACCTATGCTATTGCCTAAAAATAGCATGATAGGTGACCTTTAAGTTTACGTTTTTTCTTAATAGCTTTCCTCTGTATTCGTACAAAATTGTAAAGCACAAATCCAATAAAAGGAAGTTAGTCTTTTTTTGTCCAAGAACTTGAAAGGCTGTTCTCTTCGCCCTCCTTTAGTCACTGTTAGAATATTTTCAACATTTTAAATATCATTATTAAAAGCAGTCTTCAGTTTACGTGACAGCCTGCAGAGGGTGCTGCTTTATGCTTGATGTCGTGGTGGAAATCTTAGAGACTGATCATTCGGTCAACTCACAAACATATCAGCGTTTATATTTTATTTAAACTTTCTAATTTGTATTTTTACAGTATTAAAATAACTCCCTAAAATGTTAATGAAGAATTATAAAACATATCGTCTAATTTAGAAAAATCATGATATTGTGATATAAAGATATATATTGCTGAATTGTCATGGCTGTAATTCTGTAAGCATGTCAACTCTATACTTTTTTTCTGCATGTGTTGCCAAGTTGGTGAAGATGTCTCTTCATTTGCACCTAAATAACATCTTAAATGTGTAAAAAAAAATTCGAGAAATGAGAGAGACAGTTTTCAAATTCCACACTGCATATTAGCATCGATTAGCTGCTCTAAGGCTTTCATTTCAGGTTTTCTAATGAAGACTGAGCTCCTAAATTATGGAACGCTCACCTACGGTCCGCTGAGTCTGTAGATTGTTTTAAATGTCATTTAAAGACATTCCTGTTTGGGTAAGTTCTGTGCTTTTATTCTATTTTATTGAATGTTTTTATTGTGTTTTTATTGTTTATTGTGTTTTTAGCACGTCTTTATTCGTATGATGTGTTAATGCTTTGTCAAGCACTTGACTATATCTGTGAAAAGCGCTTTATAAATAAATTGTACTTACTTACTTAACTTACTTACTTCAATGTCCTCATATTTCGTTAGTGGCTGCGCTGACAGCAGCCTGGTTCTGACATGTGACTTAGTGGGCTCTATGCCAGCAGGAGCATTACAGCGTGGCACCAGAGAGTCCTGAGGGATCAGCTGCTCCACTGACTCCTCTTCCACACGATGTGCTCCACTTACTCAGGCTCCACTGCTGAATTACACAGCAGCACGCCAACAACCATTGTCGTACACCTAAAGTCAGGTCTGCCCACTGAGGGCTGCTGCAGAGGCTTGGGAATATAATGACTGAGATACAGTCTGACTAGGAGTGCTCTAAATGACTAAATGTCTAAATGTCAGCGGGATGTACCATGGAGCACGCTCCGGGGGTTTACACTGTTGAACCCTTCCTTCTCTTTTCGTTAGGTTCATTGAATTACTTTCCATAAAATATAGAACTTAGTCCTTTTTTATTGCTGTACCGCATAGTTTGCAGCAGCATTCATAGCGTTTCATTTTCAAAAATAACCATTTTTACCGCGGTCAAATGACAGTTTGCTCTCTTGATTGCTGCACACAAACGGGTGTAATAACAGCAATCCATCAAAAGCATAAATACAATTTATAAAACAAAAATGTACTTGAACCCCATACTCTTTAGGGTGATTAAGTCATGAAATGTAATGAAAAACATTCAAATAGCCTCAATAGAAGCTTTGAATGAAAAAAATAAACATGAATTCTGTACAAGCCAGTCTTTTCATTTAGGCTAATGCATGATTGGGAACATAATTGGAATCAACAGCTGGAACCAGCGGTGGCTGAAAGGTGCAAACGCATTACAACGGCCAAAACATTTCCATAAGTATAATCGCGCTGCAGTTTCAACAGAGACAGATGTCCATCTTTATAATCCTGAACGTCACTGAGCGCTCCGGTCCCAGCTGTGTGCGAAACCTTTTAGTGTCCCCTGGTTTCCGTTGTGTTTCGAGCTTCTTGCAGAGTTTTTTTATTTGCAGCGTTTGGTTTACGCAGCTCGGTTTGGTTTGCGCTGCTCGGGTTTCCTCAAGTTGATAAATGTTTTCTAAATGCTGCATGTGTTGTCAATTTGCGGAAGATGTTTCTTCATCTGCATGTGATTTGGTTCATTTGTGTTTATATATTTGCATCGTGTCTGAAGCTGCAGGGCGTTTCTCCTAATGGAAGAGTTTTGATACGTTGTAGCTCGTTTGCACCGGTCGGCCACCGTAGCATCAACCCAAAAACACAGGGTTTTTTCAGCCTAATTTACAGAACCAAGCAATGACAAAGCAGTCTGAATAGACATTTAGGTGCCTTGTGTTTTTTTGTTTGTTGGATTATAATGATATAAACTCATTCAAGCTTAAAAAAGACTGCACGCTGAGCCTTGCTCTAATTTAATTTCCTCTGTCCGCTGGGCCTTTTGCAATAACTTCATTTATTTGACAGGATATTGTCCCAGAAATAATTGTAATTGAACAATATCATTTTATTTTAGGATGATGATTGTCCATGTTCTCTGTAACGTCTTCTACACTTTTTAAATATCATAACTCATTCTAATGTGTCTCTGACATGTCTGGCCAGGGATTACAGATGAAGTAACACATGTACAACAATGTTTTCTAATGTCCCTAAAAAAATATTAATTAATAAAGAAAATTAAAAAAGGATAATGCACCCACGTTTTAAATTGGTTGGGAAAAAGAATAATTATGGAAATGTTTGTTGTACTCAATTAAGGTTTTATCACCAAAAAATAGCTAAAAACCATAATTAATAGCAATTAATACCAAAAACAGAGAAAAAAAATAAGCCCAGAGTTGTAATAGATTACATTTTTCCAATGCTTCTGCTTCTCTTTGGCCAACTACTGCACAAACAAGTACTTGAGAGTCTGTGTTATTCTTTTTTTGCACCCTTAACAGCTTTTCATTTCACAGCGTGGTAAAATTAACCAATCTCAAAAAATGTGACAAAGGACTCTAACCCAGGCACTTCAACAAAACCAATAATTTCGAGCAGCTGCAGCACAAGCTTCTGTCTTGTCTTTGGTTTTCTGCACATGCTAATTATTCAACCATCTGCAAACAAATACAACTTAAACCCTAGACTCTGAAAACCATATTCCTGCAACCCAGACTTCTTTGACTATTTATAATCTTTCTCGGATGTTCTTGTTCAATGACTCACCGACAGTAACCAGACACACATTTTAATTTTCACTTCAGAGAAATACAGGAAAGAACAGTCTCTCATCATAAGAAAATAAGAAAAACGTCTCTACAGGGCAGAGTTACTGCATATAAGCCGCACACAGATACTGAATTATCAGGAAACAATGATTATTTGTCCTTCATAGCTTCAACATACCAGGTGACATTTATAAGCTGTACAAAAAAACGGATTAAAAACAGTAAAGGTAGAGTGAACATTTAGAGAAAATCTTATCAGAAGTGCTAGGAGCTGATTTCATGTATTTTCTGGTCTGATCTACCAGCTAATAAAGTTCAACCATGTGTCCTTTTCCTTGTTGAAGTTCCCCGCCCATTGAAGAGTAAACACTAAGTGATAGTCCGTCTGATTGGGTTTGTAGTCCAGTTACAAACTTGGGAAGAGCCATTTCTATCTGCGTCCCTTTCTTCCATCGGTTCAAGGACTTAATGGTGACGCTTGCAAAGACGTTTCCACGGTTGAACAGCCCTTCCCAAGTAACTCGGACCAACGCTGGGAAAAAAAGAGCAGATTGTTGGCTTCGCAGAAGTTCTTTCTTTCTAGTCATAGTTGAACGAACCAAAGGAAAGCCGTTGGAGGCAAAGTAGGTGAAGATGCCGTCAAAGTAGTGCTCAGAGTCGGACATAAAACAGTTAGGGGGATGGATATAAAGGTTTGGAGATGTCTTTTCTTGTCTTATCTAAAGCCATCTTCACATCAGCCACATGTCCTTCTCCTTGTTAAAGTTCTCGACCCACTGGCCTGTAAGCACTATGTAGTCTGGCTAATTGGGTTGGCAGTCCAGGTACAACACCTCACCGTTTTCTTGTGTCCAGCCTTCTCTATCTGCGTCCATTCCTGACATTGGTAAAAGGACTTAATGGTCAAGATTTCTGGCCTGAAAAGATGTGTCCTAATATCGTCCGTTAACATGCTTTCTCGTTCCATGGTTGTGCTACAGGCGAACAGCCAACGCTGGACCAAAAGAGCAGATTGTTGGCATTGCAGAAGTTCTTAATGGCTTTCCAGTTCTGGTAGTACAAGCCAAAGAGAAGCCATTCGATTCAAAGTAGGTGTAGATGCTGTCGAAGCAGAAAAACTGGTATTGAAATGGACATAAAGGAGTAGGAGCTGACTTTTTGTTTTGGTCTGATTCACTAGGGAAATTAAGTTCACATCAGCCATGTGTCCTTCTCCTTGTTGTAGTTCTCTGCCCATTGGCGAGTGAGCACTAAGTAGTGGTCCGGCTGATTGGGTTGGTAATCCAGGTACAAACGCGTCACTGTTTTCTTGGGTACAGCCTTCTCTATCTGCGTGCCTTCATGCCATTGGTTAAAGGACGTAATGGTGACGATTTCCGGCCTTACAGACAAAGCCGCCTGCAAGGACGTGTCGTAGTATCGTCCGTTAACGCGGTTCCTCGTGTTGTGGTTGTTCCACGGGCGAACAGCCGTGTCCACGTACCCCGGACCAACGCTGGGAATAAAGAGCAGATTGTTGCCATCGCAGAAGTTCTTGATGGCTTTCCAGTTCTGGTGGGACGAGCCAAAGGAGAATCCGTTGGAGGCGAAGTAGGTGTAGATGCCGTCAAAGCCGCTAGCTAGGATGTCGTGTTTGTGGCGCTCCTCCACGATAAGGGCGAGGAAGACGCCGTCGTAAGGCGTGCCTCGGATACTGTGGGAACCTTTAGGGCTGAGGAGATCGGCCCAGGACTCGGCTGGCATCAGGTAGGAGTCGTAGACGTAAAACAGAGGCAGGACTCGCCCCGTGCTGGACCTGAATCTGTAGAAGGCGCCATGCTTTCCATACCTGAGGAAAACAAGAGAGGCGGAATTTCAAGCTGTTGCAATATCCATGGAAAAACATTTTGAAAATAGTCGCTTTAATGTCTTTTTCAATTGCAGGCAAAAATTAAGTGAAATTAATATTTAGTGGCTTGCATTCTTCTTTCGTGTGCTGGTAAATGGTGTTTTTTTTTCTACAACTGGGAGTAGCCAAAGTCATAAAGTTACCAATTCCTTCAAGTTCTTTAAAATGTAAAAAGTATTGATTTGTGAAGCTTTAAGGGCTGAGGCTCTCCGGCTTATCATATAGTCACTGCAGTAAAAAGACTGCAGCCTCCGGACATGTTCTCTTTTTAAATGACAACAATGCGAGTCACTTGCATGTACGATGTAGGATGATGGACATAAAGTTAAATTGCATCGGTATCAGTCGGTCAGATGCCTGAGCGACCAATCTTCTTATGTGTAGTCTTGTTTGATTTCTTTTATACTAGTATATTCAAATAAAATTATGCTTAAAGGCCACATGTAGCACATTTTATAACAAAAGGTTTTACAGGCTTTCAGACACTGAGAAAATATTTATGCTTTACTGAAAACCATCATCTCTTTTTCTGGCCCTCCACTTTTTCTTTCATTTTATACAGATGGCCAGCACAGTGGGTTTCTGAAAATATTGGCAGGAATATAAAGAGCAAAAATGGGACGCTCTCTAGCCTTTGCTTTGAATTTACTCCAGTATTTATATGAACATTGTAAACGTGGTGCTAGTGAGAGTCTATATTGTTGTTCCTAGTCACAGTGGGAGATCATGGGCTTTTATCAGACTGCTAGTGAATATTCTATGAGGTGAAACTCTATCTGATAACCATACCAGAGTTTCCGTTAGAATTTATTTTTGCCGGTCAACATGTCCGTTAAAGTTGAAATCTTCCGGACAAAATGAGAAAAGTGCCGGTCAAAGGTCTTCTTTGTTATTTATTGAGCTTTAAAACAAATTGATATGATTGGATATTAAACAAACTAATTATAGTAGATTAACTACATTATTCAAAAGTGTAAAATAACTTATAATAACATGGGAATAATGAACGGAGCGCTCTCTCCTTCTCCTGACAGCCCGTCAGTATGCAGCTCGCGGATCCAGTAATGAGTGACCCGACAGTAAAAATAAACATATCTATAACTAGTTTAGGTAGTTTGAGAGGTAATTAAAATAGCGAAGTGTGATTTTTTAACCTGAAGTTTGTGTGTTGCTCCGTTCACCGCTGCAGGTGATCATGCAGAGCTGCGTGTCGACTCGTCAGCAGCAGCTGATCTCTCTCTCCCGTCAGATTCGACTTCACTCGCGTTTATGTCCATATCGATCAGATCTAGCTAGTTCTAGCTAATGATATGACTACCTGCTTATTAAAAGACACCTAAACAATAAGCGTCGCTATGCAACCGGGTGAGGCCACAAAGTATAGCGCAGCAGCATTATGCATTTGTTTACATGCCCACCGGAACCCCGAGGCATTACCAACAGATCAACGCACAATCAACCCATACAGGACATCTCTTTCTCCACATTAAGTGTTAGACATTAGAATTGACTCTTCTTGTCTGTCACATACTATTGCGCTAAGGGGAAATGATTTTGACCGGACATTTTGACCGGAGAGATTTAGATTTGCCGGTCTTCAGCATATTTTACCTGTCAAAGTAGGGCTGTGCAATTAATCGTATTTGAATCGCAATTACGATTTTGGCCTGCCACAATTACGAAAACAACATAATCGAAAAAAACAATTATTTAGCTTTGCTAGGTTGTGACAGTGCACTGCAACATATTTGATCTAATTTATTTTGGTCTCATTTATTTGTATTTATCATATTTATATATGTTTAGTAGCTTGTGGAAGTGCGCTCCAAAATATTTGTTGATCTTGTTGATTGGTATTTATTATTTTGATATTATTTATTTAAATGTATCATTTATTTTATTTATTTTTGTATTGGTTTTTCAGTTGAGTTATACGTTCAGGGTAATCAACAGCTAAAAAGATACTGTTCAAATTATTATTTGTATTTGTTTTAAAGTTCAATAAATTGATTTTTTCAAAGTCAATGAATAATCGTATTTAATAATCGTGATATCAATTATTGACCCAAATAATCGTGATTATGATTTTTGCCATAATCGCACAGCCCTAGGTCAAAGTCCGGTAATTACCGGCTAACGGAAACTCTGACCCATACAGCCTTTTCACATGTCTGATAAAGACACACTTTACATTTTGCTTGAGTTAGGGAAGAGGATTGGGATTTTCTGGCATTAAGACTGGTCAAAGTCAAAGCAAAAGCTACCTCCTGATCTATGACAGCAGGATCACAGGGGAGACATCAATATTTAACAACAAGTTCCTCTATTCCCTTCTCAAACTTCATGATTCACCACACCTCTAGACTTCAAACGTCAGATATTGAAAGCAGAGCTCCCGTTAGCTTCAGCTCGGGGAAAGGAGACACGTCTGGGACAAAGGAAAGTGAAAACAAAGCCAAACAACGTACTTGTCAATAATGTATTTGATGTTGTCATGCATGCTCTGGTCCGTCCGTCCTTTGTACGGCTGTATGTGAAAGGCCACCTGTGCAAAACACATTGAGAAAAAGATCATGAAAAGCACAACATAAATGCACAAAACCCTAAAAAACAAGGGGTTATGCAATGAATTTACAACAGAGCTCTTATTATTTCAGCATATCATTTATTTTGATGGACAGCCAGTATAAATGCAACCTTCAATTAGTCCGACCTCGCTAATTATCTGGCCGGGCTGCCTGTGATTCACAGTGTTGATTGGAGTGTCATTATGTTCTGGAGGTGCTTGTTCCACTGTGTTTGAATGCTTCTGTGTGCACACTCAAATATCAAACTACTCAACACCAGATTCATTTTAATGACCAATCAAAGCTAATATAATGCCAGTCAGCGGGAAACAATTAAAAAGTTTAACCGCAAAGTTTTAACGAGGAGCTTTCTACGCAATGTTTTTTAAATGCAGCTACAGCTTTACACTTAATAACATGAATGTATATATAGCATTTCTGCAATGACGGGACATATGTTATAATCTGTTATGTTACTATATTATATTTTGACTTTTGGCTAACTTTACTTAGCTTACTGTTTGCACTTTGCTTATCAGCTCACATTTAGCAAACATTGGCTGAACCATTAGTTACAACTAACTGGCGAACCTTAGTTTAGCGCAGGTGGTTGCTAACTAGCTAGGCATGGGCGGCTAACTAGCTAACTGCAAACTTAGCTTGTGGTTAGCTAGTTAGCAGCCACTGCCTTGCATTGCACTTGGCTAGTAGATTTGTTATTTGACACTTTTCCTTGTACATTATTTATGTTGGCTTAAATAAACACTGTTGGTCATTATCAGTTAGCCGTCACATTGGCTGGTTAAGTAATTTGCAAGCTAGCCTTCTAACATATTAGCAAGCAAGATAAGGTTAGCAAGCTAGCTCACTGAGCTTTGCTGTATGGATTTGGTGTTGTAATGTTAGCTGATAAAGCAATTTAGGCCCTGTTTTCCAGACAGAAACAAAAACAATCCTTCTATTCTATAGAAATATAAAATAATCAGCTGTTGTAGCCTACAGTTTCTTTGTGTTATCTTAGTAGTTCGCTGCCTTCTGCCTCTAACAAATACAGTTATATTAAGGGACTTTTTTGACTAAAGTTTGCAGAGTGCACGCTACGGACAGTGTGACCTTAATGTTAAGAGTAGCCTACAATTGCACAATTAGGGCTGTAGTGAAACCACAAGTAAAAAACGGTCAAAATTAGCATATACATTATTGCGCAAAGGCCAAAAACGTGTTTAAGATCCTCGTAACCTTTGATATTTTTTTAGTCCAAGTAAAGGGTTTGTGCCATTTTAAAAACAATTCCCTCCAGATGTCTTTAACATATTGAGTTCACAAGAAAAGGTAGCATATACAATTCAAAAATATAAATATAATAGTGGCCTGGAGGTTGAACATATACCCATATGGTGACAATCTCTGAAAATAAGGTCTGTAAAAATAAGTTTAACATGAAGTAGCCTTTTTCAAGTGTCCCTATTTTAGAACATGCCCCAGATGGTCACCTTGAATTATGCATAAAACATCCTGCTTGTTCAGTTTAGTGGCCTTGCTTTTCTTGTATAAATGAAACAGCACATTGCTATCTCGTTCCTGAATCTTCTGTTTACTCTGCGTGGGTTTTATTTACAACATTTCAACCACATGATTGACATCTCTTCGACTACAAACAGCGGTTCAAATGCTGTCAATCATGTCCTTGTGGAATAAATGGAAAAGATACCAATGTGCCGATGCTTTTTACATTCTTTTGTGCTGATAAAAATAGTTTGTGGATGTGTGTGTGCCTCTGGATGATTGACAAAGGAAACGTCTGACATGCCTCTGCTCTGGATTTCTATTTTTAAAGATTGTATACCTGCAGGAAAAAGAAAACAACCTTCTATGGTTGAGCGAAACAGATTTCTCCTGCTGCTCAGTGGAGTGTGAATGCTGCAGGATTGACTCATTTGACCTTTTATTAGGAGCTGCTGCTTCTTTGGAGTATCATTGAAGGATAAGGGCTGTGTGCCAGCTATAATATCTAATGTCTGTCAGCACAGTAAAAACACTGAAAAGCCAAAAACTAATGACTTTAAATCCTTAAAAACACATAAGTGCTTAAACACAAGCTGTGACAGATACATGTTATGTCTTTAAATATGTGTCACTGTGTTAATTGTTCAGTTATGTATTGGTGTGGTCCAAAAAGGATGATCAAAAAGGGGTTTTGAGTATCCTTATAGCAGTACATTGCAGTTATTTTGCCTTTCCCTTCTTAAGATTTGATCCATAGATAGATTCACTTTATTAATCATTGGCATTTTGCAGCAGCAGGTTATCAGGCATTGCACCTAATTTAAAAATACCCAGTAAATATATATTAGTACAGGGTATATGCAGGAATCCTGAAGTAAAATGTAATACCTTTTAAGACCTTTTTTAAGACCCTTTCCATACATTTTAAGACCTCATTGCCACTTGGAGTTTTAAACGGTTACATTGGCGACACACTATACCTCACATTTACTATATTCAGTATTGATTGTCCTTCCTCGTTATCTTCCAACCATTTGGACGCAAACTTGCATTTCCCCATAACGATGTTGTTTAACAACCGGCGTAAACGGAGCTTCGCGCGCTATCAAGCAGTGAGCGTGCGATGTCCTGTTCAGATGACGTCAAATCCAACGGGATGCCATAAATAAACTACACAGAATCACACTACACACCTACGCAATGATTACATTCAGGCAGACTGTAGAATACACCCTCTTTGGACAATTTATATACTTATTGAAAACAAGCTACAGAATGTAATACCTTGGGAAATGCCGTTTAATACTTTTTAATAATTTTTAATAGCCTTAATTTTTGCTAAATTGATTTATCAACTTTTAATACTTTTTAAGACCCCGCGGACACCCTGCAGTACTAGAAATGTATACATATTTACAGATATGCTTAGATTCGAAACATTTCATTAAATGCATTTTGTGTCTGAACACATGTATTGTTTCTAATATAGAATGTCGTGTTGAAATCTAATTTGTTATGGAATACAATTACAGATGCTTTTGCCTATTATTGTTTACTTTTTGAAGTACATATGAATTGAGGAGTTTGAACCTCTGCTAATCATAACCCTTGATGGTAATCAAACACGAAGAGAATCTGAAACGTGTATTTCTCTCCTTTTTTGTTTAAAATGTTCCTAATTAAAGGTGTTCTCTCGTCTCGAGTTAAGACATGAGGACAGAAGCCAAGTTTAGCCTGCAGGACCCTGAGGATTTCTAGAGGAGAGGAGAGGAAAGGAGAGGAGAGGAAAGGAAAGGAGAGGAGAGGAGAGGAGAGGAGAGGAGAGGAGAGGAGAGGAGAGGAGAGGAGAGGAGAGGAGAGGAGAGGAGAGGAGAGGATGTATCGTCTCATCTGTTGACACTTTCAGGTGAAGCAGGATCTAATCCACTGACCCAAATGTCTCAGATCTCTATTCAGCATATTTTTAGGAATAATAAAATCATATGTTTATAGATCCATTCATCCTCAGGGAATTCATCTCCAGGAGAGATTACTGTACTCGTATACTCTAACATTATAACTGCTATATTTATTGACACATAGCTTATTTTTACATATAAAGGCACATGATATAAGGGTTGCAGCCCAGCTTTGACTGAGCTGTGGAGACACAAACACCCGACGCCCACGCCATCTTTCAAAGAGAGACAGCAAGGTCAGTTTCTAAACAGTTTCTATGGTGACGCGGCTGTGTTACGCCAAGGTAAAACGTCGCTCAATCTGCGGATGAAGAGTGTGTTTGTGTGTGTGCTCAGATCATATTTACACTGAGCCTGAGGAGAGCCACCGCTGTTTGCATTTACTCTTCAGATGATGACAAACACCAACCTGAACTCATGTTGCATCATTACGTTGTTGTACACTGCATTCAATCAGATACTATATGTAAACTCAACGGATGAATTCAAAAGTGCAAAACGCCAAAATACACAGAGAAAATTACTACACTTCAAGAGGTCTGAAAATGGCAGAAAGTGTTCCTAGAATACCTGATATGGAGTGATGCAGGAATGAGTCCTAAACCCAGGAATGAGTCTGCCTTATTGTCTCAACAAGAAGTTGCCAAACCCTCCAACAGGAAGTCTGCTTTGTTTCTGAATATCCAGCTGCTCTACCTGACCAGGTGCAACGCTATTTGTGTCCCCCATGAAACATGCTGTGTACAAATAGTTCCATGCTAACATTTACTAGTAAACTGCGTAGATGTAGATGACACACACACACACACACACACACACACACACACACACACACACACACACACACACACACACACACACACACACACACACACACACACACACACACACACACACACACACACACACACACACACACACACACACACACACACACACACAGAGGCATCAGTCGTCTTAACGCTGATGCTCCAGTGTGTGTGTGTGTGTGTGTGTTTTGTCTCTGCTGCCTCATGCATCTCCAGCATGTTTTGGCTTTAAGACCCTGCTGTGCTGAAGTGGATCTGACTGTTGGATGGAGCGCTGCACTGAAGAAGATAAATACACTGAGGCACTTAATAAAAAAAACGATGTACTCAGAGAGAAAGGCAACATCTCTCTGCTACCTCCATATCACTGTAAATGTCAGGTTTTGAGGTCAGAGATTTAAAATTGAAGATGCCACCGGGTCCCACTCGCTTGGTACTCTCACTTTTATTCACTGTAAGAGCCTCAGTGGACCACAATGCATTGCAGCTGCAAGACATGTAGAGGTATAACAACAACTGCCAACGAAAAACAATAACAACAGATCCTTTTGTTCAATAGCTAATAATAATGACATTTAAACCTATATGCACAAGATAATAACTTGTCAAACACTATCATACAAATAACAATATTGAGACGTTTGTCGCTGTAAAGTCATTAATAATTCAGTAAATCAGTAAAAAGCGTTAAGGGATCAAGCCTCTTTTAATTTGAAGTATATTGTTTTGTGTTATTGTTGGAGGAGCCTGAGTCTAAACTACATTTAGCTATTGTGCGTACAACAATAAAGCCTTAGGACATTAGAATCCCAAATGTATTGCATGTTCTTAATCTTACATGCACAAGATTACTTACTACTCACACATGATTAAAAGGAACATCATGACTCAGCTTTCACGTTAAACTGTCACATTGAGTAAATCGTCAGGAAGTAGAAAACATACCGGTTGTCTCACCAGTTACCTTGATGCTGTGCCTGTGGGCGGCGTCCATCACGGCGGGGACCAGATCCTCGCTCGGCTCCCCGTGGTCGTCTGCCACGCCGGGGGGGTACCAGGACAGAACCAGCACCCCTAACACACCACCGAGAGGCAGAGAGTGGGAGTTAAATTAATGAAGGTGGAGGTTAAAGCAATGATTGGTTAATAATCAATAAAAGCTGTGGTCACTTTTATTGGGTTTTTTCAACAGCATACAGTTATTATATCAGAGCATGTATCAAAAGTAGGTAAACAAATCTTCACTTTATAGAAACATAGGTAGAGTAACAATGTAAATACTGCTTAACAAACCTGTGGTAACTTTATTTACACCAGGGCTGCACAAAATATTTTTTTTTAATCATCATCTCTTGCACTCAATTTTGTTGAGTTATTTAGATTATCAGTAGAAATGTGTACTGTTACATTATTATTATTTTTATAAATTATAATGTTTGTTTTTTATTAATTCATTGTTCATTATTTGGGCAGTTTTATAATTGATATCCCCGTGGTCGTCTGCCACGCCGGGGGGGGTACCAGGACAGAACCAGAATGTGAGTTAATACATTGAGGGTGGAGGTTAAAGCACTGATTGGTTAATAATCAATAAAGCTGTGGTCACTTTATTTACACCAGGGCTGCACAAAATATATATTTTTTAATCATCATCTCAATATTGCACTCAATTTTGTTGAGTTATTTGAAGCAGATTATTAGATTACATTTTAACTATTATATGATTATTATTTGTATAAATTATAAAATTATTAATTAACTTTTTGGGCAGTTTTTATTATCATGTGAACAAAAGGACCTTCAGATTTAAGGCATGTCTACTTGTCTTATTTTATTTATACTGTTTGCAAAAATAAAGGGAGATCTTGAAAGTACATGTATGGACAACTAAGTCAATAAATAAAAAGTGTAAAATAATATAAACATGTATTTTTAATTGTAACTATTATCCAAATAAAGTCCTTTGCTTTCTTCAGTAGATGCATTTAGCAGTATTTTTAAATCAGTTACCTGCTGCAGCCTCCTCTATCTGCGCCATGTGGGACTCCAGCACCTTGGGGTCCCTGGAGCTGTAGGGGCCGAGCTCCGGGTAGAAACTGGAGGCTATGTCCTCCGGAGGCGTGTGTCTGCCCTGGGCGTGACTGGCTGCGATCTTAGGGTCCCAGTGCGGCACCAGCACGTGGTCCCAGTGGATGTACTTGTTGTCGGTGGCCGGGTCCCCGTACCACAGGTAGTAGAAGATGTGCACGTCGTAAAAGATGCTGTAGTCCCGGTCAGATTTAGTGAAAACCACCTTAGTGTCGCTGCTGATGCTGCCGCCGTGAACCTGACCCGGAGACACCGCCACATCCTGCAGGTCCAGACGGAGGGGGGAGAAGAGTTCAGATGCTTTAGTAAAAGTACCAATACATTATGGGCTAAATACTTAATTACAATTAAAAGTCCTGCATTCAAAATCATACTTAGTTCAAAGGTTTTATTGTCATATGAAATGCTACAGTGTTATGCGATTAAGTTCTTCAGTCCCAGGCTCCACCAACAATGCATCATAAATACAGAGCCGGGAGAAGTATAGATCTGGTACTTGAGTAAAAGTAGAAGTACTCAGATCTTGTACTAGAGGAAAAGTAGAAGTATACAGAGTGTAGGAATACTCTGTTACAAGTAAAAGTCCTGCATTCAAATGTTACTCTAGTAAAAGTAGAAAAGTATTATCATCTAAATATAGTTAAAGTAGCAACAGTAGAAGTAGTCTTTGTGCAGATTGGTCCATTTCAGAATAATATGATATGTTTTCTAATGATTGATCATGAAAGTGTTCTCAAAGCTGGTAAAGGTGCAGCTAGTTTGAATGACTTTGTATACTGCAGGGTAGCTTGTGAATTTACTCCAGGTGGAACTAAAGTCTGATTTAACACTTGATTATATTTCACATCATTAATCCAGATCTGTAAAGTAACTAAAGGTATTAAATACATGTAATTGAGTAAAAGTACAACATGTATCTCTGTGACTTATCTCGGTCGTGTAGTGGAGTAGACAAGTAACATAACATTAAAAATACTCAAGTAAAGTACAAGTACAATACACATTTTACTTAAGTACTTGAGGTACTTAGTTACTCCCCACCTCTGCATCCAGCCGCCTCCGGTCCCTCTCTCTCTCCCGGATGAAGCCCATCCCCGGGGCCAGGTCTGAGAAGCCGTCGCTGGGCTTCAGGGTCCGGAGCCCCATCATGGCCCCGAAGATGAAGAGGGTGAAGAGGAAGAGAGAAACTAAAGCCTTCCTGCGGAGCCGCGTCATGGTGGCTGTCCGCGGTGCTGAAGACCGAAAACAAGCGCTCCTCTGGTCGTCTTTCAGTCAGTGCAATGGAGACTGTGAAACATGCATGTTATTTCCCCTCCACCCGGAGATCAGGCTTCAGTAAACCCCCTCCTCTGCACACATGGTCGCTGTCCCTGGTGCTGAAGACAGGAAAACAAGTGTTTTTTTCAACTGGTGAGATTAAATCAGTCAGTGCAGCTGGAGCGTAATGGAGACTGTAAAACATGAGTATTCTTTCACTTCCATCATCCCCGAGATACCCTGCAGGATCAGGCTGCTGCAGACAGTAAAACAAGCGCTCCTCTCTTCGTTTTACAGCAGGAAATAAAACGCGTTGATTCAGTGCGATGGAGACTGTAAAACATGCATGTTATTTCACCTCCATCCTGCAGTGAAATAATAATAATAAATCCGCTGCTCTGCACATCCGCGCTGCGCACTTCGCGTTTTATTCCCCTCCATCTTTTCCTCCAACATCTATGTCACCTGTCAGCTGTTCCCTCATGTCTCTACAGGAGCTTTAATATGTTTAGTTTATCCGTGCAATGCTCCTCTTCTCATCCCATCCTCATGGGTCCAGGGGTCACATCTGCTTCCAAAATCCATCCCTGCAGCACAGAAAGGTTTTTCTTTTCTTTTTGATGGATACTGACGCTTCAGGAGAGAATGAAACATTTGTTTGTGCAGGAGGAGGGGGTGGGATTAACCCCCAACCGGAAATGCATGTGTGAGGGGTGATTAGTGCCAGAAGAGAGGCAGGAGGTGGAGCCTTAGCTCAGATTTATGAAGAATCATTTCTGTGTGTTGTGACAGATATTTATAGTAAATGTTTTTAGGGAATGATGAGGATTATGGAAACATGTGATATTCTGACTTAAATATAGAAAATAAATATAATTATTTTTAGAAATCCATTGAAGATCTCCATTTTTTATCACATGTGGCACCAATCCTCTTCCGTACTTTTGTGTATATCCATACATTATGTGTGTATTGAAACAATCTTAGTAAATCTTAAATTAAATATATATGATTGATCCTCAATAAAAATCAATCATCTGTAAAATGTAGCAAGGAAACAAATCCCAGTGTTGCACGATTCTACAAAAACGTACTGTATATTGAATGTGGGTTTTTTTTATGTCCAAATTCAATCGTAACCATGGTTTTTGTGCACGAGTCAGTGTGACATTATTCAGACTCAGAAACAGGTTTATTGCCAAGTAGATTTACACATATGAGGAATGTGTCTTGGTGGTGCGTACATACACACAGTTAAAGAACATAAAAAATAGGAAAAACAACCCAAAAATAAAATAGAAACTATTATACGTTAAGATATAGAAGATTATTTACATGAAATCTGGAAATACTAAAGAACTACGTGCAGTATACTGTTGCAAAGTACTTGAAATAATCTAATCAAATCAAATATGTGCAGTGTTGTTTTGGAAGTGTAGTATTGGGGTGTTTTCAGAGAGTAAAGTATTTAGGTGACATCTAGTGGGAGAGGGAACATAGTGCATGTATTATCTGCATGCTTGTAGTTGGTTGGAGGTTAATGGTCATTATTTTAAGAAAGTTTTACACTACGTCATGCAATACTAACTAATTTTTGTAATATACTGAATCATATGCATGACATTTATTTAGGACATACATATTTTTAATAGCAATAGGTAAATGTGCAGCTATGTTAAACAATTCCCCCAAATGTTGTTATTGTTCTTTAACAGATAATACATCTTCAGTCTTTCATGTCCTTTGCCACCTGAGGCCTGTACTACGAAGCCGGATTTTCGCTTAGCCGGCCGACTTCAGGGAAATCTCGGGCTTTCCGGTCCTACGACGCTGGTTCTCTTTTTAGCAGGCTAGATCTCCATGGTAACTTATGCTGAGCGGCTAACCTCCTCGGGAGGAGGTTAGGTTGCAGGCTAAGAGATCAACTCAGTGAAAGCACTGCCTGCTGACCAATCAGAGCTCCGTGTGCGGAGTTTAAAGTGATCAATTCATATTACAGGATAGAGGAAATACAGAAAAACTGCCGTTGCAGGAAAGACGGCCGGCAAAAATCAACTGACTGTGTGAACGTGAAAATTAATAGAATATCCCCTCCCATCTTCAGAGCAATCTGACTATTATAACATTAGCGTTAAGAAAGCTTACTTAAATATCTGCCACGACATAAGTAACCGGATCAGAGTAACATTAAGTACAGTCCGCGGCACTGTGAGTGCAGACGTCGATGTGTCACATTATCATTCATATCATATCACATCATATTGTATCATATATTTCCTTATTTGAGTCAGCTTCTTGAGCCGTATCTGGCCGTGCAACACTCACAGTGTCACATACTGTCACATAGTGTGTGTGTGTGTGTGTGTGTGTGTGTGTGTGTGTGTGTGTGTGTGTGTGTGTGTGTGTGTGTGTGTGTGGGAGATCTGTCACAACATGGCATCTTTTTGATTTACTATTGATCAGATTTATTGATTGATGTCCCTCTGGAGGAAAGCTGAAAGGTGATCTGACATCCCTCACGCACACACACACAAACACACACACTCAACCCAACACACACACACATGTTCATTCAAGTGCATTTTAACAGCATTACATTCACAACATAAATATTGCAGGGGGACATTCAGAGTGATATGTGAAATGTGAGTTTTATACCATTCTCATCTACTATGCTTATTCAATCACAGTGACATAACAGCCTGTTTGTGTGTATGTGTGTGTTTGTGTGTGTGTGTGTGTGTGTGTGTGTGTGTACTGTGTGTGTACTGTGTACAAACAAGCGCGTGTCGAGGCTTTGTTCCAGAAGCCCCTCTGGGTGACGCCTGGCCTTCCATGTTCCGCAGGAGCCGGTAGGCTTTTCCATTTCCACAGTGACTTTCAGAGAGCTATTAAACACACACACACACACACACACACACACACACACACACACACACACACACACTCTCTCGCTTAACTTGCTAAGTGTGTGAGTGTGTGGCTTTACTTATTTAGTTATTACTGCACAATTATGAAGTGCACATGCTTGTGAATGTGTGTCTGTGTGTGTGTGTTGTGAGAGACAGTGTGTGTGTGTGTGTGTGTTTGTTTTAAGTGGGAGCATTTGTGTGTGTGTGTGTGTGTGTGTGTGTGTGTGTGTGTGTGTGTGTGTTTAGTGTGAGCTTGAGTGTGCATTTGTGTGTGTCATTACAGGAATTTCCATGACTCAGTAGTTTGAAAGCAGCTCATCATATATAAATGAGTGTGGGTAAATGACTCCTACAGGCCACCGTACTTCTCTTTATGAACTGTAACAGGTGGAGGTGAATCACCTGAACAGGAGGATCAACTTCACCTGAATCATGTGACTCACCCTGAAGAAGAAGAGGAAGAAGAAACCATCTGCTGTATAAATGTCACTTGTTTATTTATTTAATCATCATGGACTTTATAAATACAGCTCCAGTTATGTACTGCTCAAGCAGACACTGCAGAACAGGAGTTTCCTCTAAGATGACCAAAGGTATGTCTCACTCTTTATTTCACTTTAGATATCAGATAAGTTCACATATTCATATAAATACATATATTTTTTTGAAATAATCAGTGTTGTATTCCAATGTACACTATTTTACATTTAATTATTCCTGCATTTTACTAGCACAACTTTTAGCCCTTAAATAACACTTTAATTCATGTGGAAAGCTGCATCTTATAAAACTCTGATTGGTCAATCTGTACATTTTGTGTGTGTGTGTGTGTGTGTGTGTGTGTGTGTGTGTGTGTGTGTGTGTGTGTGTGTGTGTGTGTGTGTGTGTGTGTGTGTGTGTGTGTGCGTGTGGTGGGGGTTACCAGAGGTGGGAGGGTCAAGAGGGCTTCTGCATATTGTGCAAGAAGAGAGCAGGAAGCAGGCAGAAGGTATTATATCTCCTGCAGGATTACACACACACACACACACACACACACACACACACACACACACACACACACACACACACACACACACACACACACACACACACACACACACACACACACACACACACACACACACACATTTAATATGTTGTTGAAAATCGTGGTCATTGAAATGGTGTTGATTGCAATAAATAAGATATGACAGATATCAGATAACACACTTTGTCAAAAAATCTCTCATCTGAGATAATTTGAGGAAACAGAAAAAGGGGATTGCAAGATTCGCTGTCTTTAAAATGTGGATTTTAATGCACATTAATATTGTCGGGGAAGAAGTAAGAAACATTTTATTTGGAAGGCCTGTTGGTAATAGAGTATGACATTAAAACTTGATGAATTTAAAAGTCAAATGTTTTTTTACAACATGTAATATCTAAATTAAAGTGTTTAATAAGCTAAACTCTGACTTGATTTTCATTCGTCTCTTGCATTTTTTAAAGTGAATTCCTCATAAAACACGTTGACTTATTAAACTCTAAATAATTGGACTAATCTCCCCTCTCCCTGTTTCTCGTGCAGCAGGAAGTGGATGTGGCAATGAAGAGGAGAAACAGGAGGTGGATTTGGGTAGCGGCGTCTGCAAGTGGTTCAATGTGAGGTTGGGGTTCGGCTTCCTGACCATGAGCAGCCGGGACGGGGTCCCGCAGCAGGACGTGTTCGTGCATCAGGTGCAGCATTCAGATCCTGTGCTGCAGTAGAAGTTCTTATGCACTGGCTTTTTACATTTGGCCCTTATCACCTTCTTTCCAAAATTCCGACTTTTTTCTCAAATTCTGAATTTATTTTTCAAAACTATAGCTTTTTTCAGATTTCAGAGATGATCAAAATACTAATAATAATTTTTCCAAATTCTAACTTTTTTTTCCAAATTCTCCCTTTTTTTCGATTTGTATAGATTTCAGATTTAATCAAATTCTAACTTTAATTTCCAAATTCTCACTTTTTTTCTTAATTCTCACTTTTTCTTCCAAAATGTCTTTTAAAAATACAGATCTTTCCAAAATGTCAACTTTTTCCAAAATGTCAACTTTTTCCAAAATTTCAACTTTTTCCAAAATTTCAACTTTTTCCAAAATTTCAACTTTTTCCAAAATTCTCAATTTTTGTTCTCCAAAATCCTCTCTTTGTCTCACATTTTGTCTGGATCAGATTCTATCTCTTCTCTGTAAGCTTAACTGTTCTGTAGGCTAATACTTTAAGTGTGAATCAATACGTCTACTGAAAATGGGATATGAGTTTGCCAAAACGCACATAAAATGTAATCCTGACCCTCTCGTTAACAGAGCAAACTTCACATGGAGGGTTTCCGCAGCCTCAGAGAAGGAGAAGCTGTTGAGTTCACCTTCAATAAATCCTCCAGAGGTCTGGAGTCGTTGCGGGTCACCGGCCCAAACGGAGCCCCGTGTCTGGGCAGCGAGAGGAGGCCGAAGAGGAGCCGGGGATCCAGAGGGGAGAGGTGAGACAGAATGAGGACGTACAACCTTCACATTTAGCACTAGTAATGTTCAAGATTTTGCAAACTTTGGCCACTTACCATCTCCTCTACAGCCCATTAATGATGCAATGTTGCACCCTTTACTTTGTATTGGTGTAAAACTAAGCCAGTTTTAGGTTTGGTTGTCAAAGCGTACTTTATATTTCCCCCTGAGGGACTGAGGAGATCAATCTTACCCCTGAACATTCAAAGTGCATCAGAGGCTGCATGGTGACAGATTTGTTAAAGAGAGACAGGAAGCTGGAACTAAAGCTGCCGTCTTATGGTGGGAGTCAGTCAGTGCACTGCATTGACTTATTTGAGCTTTTAGATTTCTTTACAGATTGATATCAAATGTAATACCTGTCAAAAGTAATATTGTATAAATGTTTTTTTTGGAGGGTCCTGAAATTAAAGTCAGAATTCTGAGAAAAAAATTATGCATCTGAAAATAGTCAGAACTATATATATATATATTACACATTTATAATGTATTTTTTCCTGAAAATGATCATGGCAAAATATTTTTTTCATCACCGGTTTTCACAAAAACAAAAAGGTATTTTAGAAAAAACAACTGAATTTGTGGCAAAAAAAAACCCATTTCATTTCCTGTGTCCTGTTTTATTTCAGATGCTATAACTGTGAAGCCCCCGGCCATCACGCCAAACAGTGTCAGCTGCCTCCTCAGCCCAAAAAGTGCCACATCTGTCAGAGCCTGAACCACATGGTGTCCAGCTGTCCAATCAGAGCGCAGCAGCATCAGTCTGCAGCTTCCTCACACAGGGGCGAGGAAGAGGAGCACCACCCTCTTTAAACTCAGAGAAACTGTGAGGTTTTTAACTGGAACAATGTTTAAAGATTGAGAAACTCAGGGTTTATTTATTGAGGTATAAAATGTGAAGTTTAAGGTTGTTTTAATGTCTGGATAATGTGTATTAGCTCTGGGATAAAAACAATCAGATTTAGTGTGAATTCATCCAAAAAGTAGCAACAGAAATCAACTTTCTTTTATTCCCCAAATTCAAAAACAGGTAATTTTATGATATAATAAATATTATAACGTATGTGCAAGATAGGAAATATCCCCAAAAGGCCTGTCAAGTTGACAAGATAATAAAATAGTTTAAATCTTGTAAAAGTTTCTATCTATTTTGACTTTATTGTCATAATATTAAGTTATATATTTATGAAAATAACAAATGAATTCCCCCGGGACAAGATTTGTTCTTTTCCATGTTTCCTTAAAATTAAATTAAATGACACAAATTTACTGAGATGTTTTTTCTATTTGCGAAATAAAAATTCAGATAATATTATAATATAATAAAGCCAATTATTTGATTTATTTTATTGACAAGATCTTATCTACTATGTCTTCTTAACCTCGTAATATTCCAAGTTATTTTCTCCCAAAATATAAGGAGAAGATAGAAATAAAAATGTAATTGATTGAAATGATTACAACTCTTTCTTAAAATATTTCTATATCATTCTCAAATGAATGTCCCCAATGCTTTGGTAAATTGTTGATTGAAACAAGAGTAACTTTGTATTTGTAATCAACTTGACGAAGATGAAGACAACATCCAATATGTGAATGTAAGACAGAAACTTGGTTGTTATTTGTTTTGCTGAACGCCTTTGTTTCTGCCTTTTTGGGAAAACATTTTGAGGTATTTTATTGAAAAGTGAATGTAGGTTGTAATGAGGTTCTTGATGTCTTATTTACCAAGCCGTCATTTCTGTATTCAAACTTTTATGCAAGACCTGTATTGATTGTATGCTAAACTCTAATATGTGTGTCAGGGATTGTATTTCACACAAATAATATTCTCTCAATTTAAATGATGGTAATTTTTAGTGGAAGCTGAATGTATTTAAATCAGAAGAGACTTCGAGTTTGTTTGGTATAATAAACATATTTATTGCCATATGTACAAAAGTCAAAAATATATAATCTATGGCGATTAGACCCCATCGTGATGTGATGGATTCAGGTGGGAGGAGAAACCAAAGGTGAACCCCTCCTTCATGGTGAGGGGGGGCATCTTTTGTCTTCTGCTATGCTGTTAAATATGGAGAAATTGTCCCCACCACTGTTTCTAACAAAGTGATGCCCATGGTAATGATGACATGAAAACCTTCACAGATCAGTAGAAAGCATCGATTGATTAATAATGGGGATTTAATGCTTTGCTCTAAGGTTACAGTTAGATGCAAAAACCCCTTAACAACAGTGCTGCGGTCACTTCATACTTCAAGTGCTTTTATGAGTAGCCTAGGCTATCTTAGATTACTAATTTGATTAACTGCAAATACGGATTCGTTGTAAGAGTAACTGGGCAGGTATATATATAATATTCATACAAATGTATTACATGAAAAAATATGATTTCATGTTCATTGTTTACAGTTATTCTAAGGCTTTACTCATTGGGAACTCACAGAAAGATCACACTCTTGAGATGTGTGCCTGTTTAACACACTTTGACCAACGGTTCAGATGAGATGAACCCTTTTGAGAACCAATTGGCTGGAAAGCTTCAAAGCTTGATAAGGCTTCATCTCGCCATCACTAGGTATACGTTGTGCAGCTCGGTGACGGTGTATTTCGGCTTGTTTTGATAAGGCTGAACTCTGAGACGTTGTTCGTGTTTTGGGAGCGTTTTGGGTTTCAGTCCTTGAACCGTCAATATCTTTCAAAATAAACCGAACTATGGAAAGCCCTCAACGCTAGTCTTATCAATATAGACTCTGAGAGGGCATTAAAGACTGTCTCTACGGCCTCTTTCTTGTAATAACAACTATATCTTAAAATCATTATCTATCATTAAATGTCGTGTGTTCTCTTTTATACAGCCATGCGTTTACCAGACGAGGGCTTTTATTTTGAAACTACTTCCGGGAGATCCTCTGGCCATAAAAACTAAAACAAAAAATATATTGCAGTCTCTTTTTCTTTGCTGGTTTAAGCCTTTATATATACAGTCTATGGTTTAAGCAAGAAATACAATCGAAACGAAGGTACAAGGTGCTTATTATGTTTATTTATTTTCCTATATTAGCATTTTCCGTTAGGTATAATAGTTATTTTTGGAAAGGGTCGTTTTATTATGTATCCAGTAGTGGGCAGTAATGCAACATCTGGACGCCAACCGCCTGTAAAAACAAAATAAGAAGCAAAAGAAGAAGAAGAAGAAGAAGAAGAAGAATGAACGGTTAAACATCCAGGGTTTAAATGGCAAAGCTAACAAGCTAATGGTTACCAGTTGGTCAACGGCTGGATTATTTTGCGATGGCTCTCTGGAAAAAACAAGAGGAATAAGTGAAGGAACATGGAGAATATCTGGGATTTTATTTCGAGTACTTTGGGTTATTTACACTTGGATACCCATAGTGTAAGATTGGCTTGTTTTCACCGTAGAAAGATGACGACGTTTGCGGCGTTTCAGTGCCTCAAACCCGGGCGTCGGTGATGCTGTTAACCGCTGGTGAAATGTTCTCAGAATTTGGATAAATAACTAAAATCTCGTTATTATAAACAGTCTTGGGAAGTAACGAGATTACAACTAACGAGATTACGTAAACGGGATACAAAAAAAGGTAACTGTATTAAATTACATTTTTAAATAATAATCAGATTACATTTATCAAGAAAATATATACATACATACAAAATATATTTCTAAAATAAAGATCCATATATTATACTATACGTACTGAATTAATTACCTTTATATTTAGGCTACTTTAATTCTCCTTTATTTTAATGTTAAGCAAAATACAGTCGAAGTTTAAACGGCATTATTAATCTATTACTGTTACTACATTTATATCATAACATATATCTTCCTTTCTGAGGTTAAATTGTAACCTGCACTTAAGTGAAAAACATCTTATTGTTTTTTATTTTATTTGAATTGCATTTTCATATTGTGGTAATACAAAATTAAAAGAAAGTAATCAGATTACTTTGATACTCAGATTCTTTAACTGATTACATTTGTTGACATGTAACTAGTAATTGTAATGGATTACATGTTTGAAGTTACCCTCCAAACCCTGGTTATTAAGTCATGAAAACCTTCAGTATCAACAAACTGCCTAATCTAATTTCTTTATAATCTACCCTCTGCTCTGTGGCTTTAAAGTACATCAAACTTCAGTGAAACAATATTTTTGTCCCAGCTTTCACACTGTTTTATTTATATTCACAGCAAAACTCACAGTTGAGATTAAAGGCATTGTTCTCAGTGGTATTTCATCATCAGTTTCGCTGTTTCCAGTTGACTTTAAATGATGATTACTTTTTTGGTGCATTAAAGGGTCCCTACTCCACATCATGAAAAACTGCGAGTATCAGCAAATTGACCCCCGGACACTTCCAACCCCGACCCCGATCCCGACCCCTCATCACGGGCCGGACGTTGACAGACCAGAGGAGCCGAAAGGGAAACCCAGGAGGAAGTGGCACGTGTTCCCCGGAAAGAACCGGTTCTACTGCGATGGGCGGATCATGGTGGCCCGGCAGAGCGGCGTGCTGCCCCTCACCCTGGGCCTCATCCTCATCACCAGTGGATTATTCTTTATTTTTGAGTGAGTGTGGGTTAGTTTTAAGGTCCACGCTTCTGTCACGTCCCCTGAGAGTTCAGTGGAAATACCAAAACATGTCAGCTTCCACTATAGTAAAGCAATATGAAGCATACTAGCATTGAACATTATTATTTTGTTGAGTTAAATCTTATCTGATGAATAAGATCTTTGCTGAACTGTAAACCAGGTTCTACTAATTCATAAAATGTCCTTATACACAGTGGTGGAAGGTAACTAAGTACATTTCCTCAAGTATTGTACTTGAGTAAAAAATGCAAGTACTTTACTTGAGTCTTTTCCCATTATGGTACTTTATACTCCCCTTTGCACATGTAGATTATACATAGAATACATTATCATATATTATTATAGGTTTAGCTTCCCATTGGTATAGAAAGAAACTCTATACTAAAATATATGGTTCTTAAATATCCCATTCTGCAAAATTAGTACTTTTACTTTTGGCACTTTATATATATATGTTAATGCAACTACTTTTTAACTTGTACTACTACATTTTGAATGCAGCACTTTTAAGTAATTGAGTATTTTTACCCTGTAGTATTGCTTCTTTTACTTAAGTAAATAATGAGTATTTCTTCCATCACTGCTAATACATACTTCATGAAGTATTTGTTATCATAGTGTAGTGAAATGTATGCTGTGTCTCTATGGATTTAAGATTTTGATTAAAGGCACTGCATGTTAATTAAAACTAGATCCCCCAGTGGGTTTGAAATAGAGAGGCGAAGTCCCGCCCATCTACTTCCGACCCATGGGACCTTATTTCGGGAAAAGTATGTATTGAAGTCAAAGGGGAGAGAAAGATTATCTTTCGATCCCGTTTGAATTGTGCCACGAATTACACATATGATGTTTGTCAATCTTAAAAAATCATTTCCATGTCAAAAAAGTCACAGTTTGTCGTAAAACTGTTGAAATATAAGACTATGAAAAATACGCAACTAGAAAGACTACAAATCTCAGAATCCCGGTCCCGCATGCTGGCTCTTACGGAACCGACTAACTCCCCTTGTGTGTATGTACAGCTCTCAACATGCCCCGACTTGGAGTGATTTTCACCTCTTTTAATACTTTTCGCCTCATTCTGAAAGAAAGAAGTGAAATGTGCCAACGTGACGGCTGTCTTGGTGTGTGTTGCGAGACGGGAGATGTAGTTCATTGAGCGGTTTCACACAAAAAAAGTGTTACTTCACAGTTTTACGACACATTTTTATTTTTTTGACTTGCAAAATTATCTTTTAAATTGACAAACATCATATGTGTAATTCGTGGCACAATTCAAACGGGATCGAAAGATAATCTGTCTCTCGCCATTGACTTCAATACATACTTTTTCTGAAATAAGGTCCCATGGAGCTCCCCCGGAAAGGGAGGGACTTCGCCTCTCTATATCAGCCTCAGTTATATGAGACTTGGATTTCTTTATATCCTTTCCCTTTGTTTGTCATGTCTTAGTAATCCATCCCCTCTCTTCCTCTCCTCACAGCTGTCCCTTCCTGGTCAAACACCTGACCAGCTGCATCCCTGTGATTGGAGGCTTCCTCTTTGTGTTTGTGGTCATCACGTTGCTCCAGACGAGCTTCACGGACCCCGGCATCTTGCCCCGAGCGACGCCCGATGAGGCGGCAGACATCGAAAAACAGATCGGTAAGAGCCAACTCCAGTCATAGAAACATTGTTGTCTTAAGTGCTTCTGACTAGAGCTGCATGAAAAAATCAATCTGCAGAGTAAGTATCGCCAACTATTTTGAGTTCTAAGTGTTTTTTCATGAAAGTATGCAGAAATACAGTTTTCAGGCCCTCAGAAAACGGCTTCTCTCTGTTTTATGTCATATTTAAATGAGTGAAACTGACAAAACAAGACATTTAAAGACATCACTTTTGACCTTAAGAGACTATGAGGGACTTTTAAAGTATTTTCTGACCTTTTTAGTCTAGAAAATAATCTGCAGATTGACAGTAATGTAAGAAGCAGCCCTTATTTTGTGTTTTACGTCCAGTATCATTCAAAATAAGCCTTTTTAGTGTCTCTTTTCCCCGCAAGGTGTTTTTCCTGCCGGTTTATGACCCAGGTTTAGAGCATCATTTGCACACTGTGATACCTAAACTCAAACTGCTTGATCTCAGCTCATTTCTTTATAAACTACTCTCTGCTCAGTGGCATTAAAGTGTGTCAAACTTCAATGAAACTCTATTTTTGTCACAGCTTTCACACAGTTTGTTTATATTCAGAGCATAACTCACAGTAGAGAATGAAGGCATAAGGCGCATTCACACCGGAGTACTTTTCCCTTTTAGTTCCGATAGTTCCTGTTAGGGCTGTGCAATTAATCGTATTTTAATCGCAATTATGATTTTGGCCTGCCACAATTACAAAAACAACATAATCGAAAAAAACAATTATTTAGCTTTGCTAGGTTGTGACAGTGCACTACAACATATTTGATCTAATTAATTTTGGTCTAATTTATTTGTATTTATCATATTTATATATGTTTAGTAGCTTGGGGAAGTGCGCTCCAAAATATTTGTTGATCTTGTTTATTGGTATTTATTATTTTGATATTATTTATTTAAATGTATCATTTATTTTTGTATTGGTTTTTCAGTTGAATTATACGTTCAGGGTAATCAACAGTTAAAAAGATACTGTTCAAATTATTATTTGTATTTGTTTTAAAGTTCAATAAATGGATTTTTTCAAAGTCAATGAATAATCATATTTAATAATCGTGATATCAATTATTGACCCAAATAATCGTGATTATGATTTTTGCCATAATCGTACAGCCCTAGTTCCTGGGATTTTGCGTTCACACCAAAAAGAGAACTTTTACCCCCTTTTTAGTGCCTGCTAGAGAGGTGGTGGGGATTGGCTGGGCGAATTGCAAACCACGCACCGTAAAACTCGGAAAAGTTTTTTGAAGCCGCCATTGTATTTGCTGGCATTAGCATTATTAGCATTAGCATTAGCCCCGCGCACCAACGGAGAGAGACTAACTTATGGCAACACAAAAAAAAACATTGGAGAGATGAGGAGGTGTCTGCGCTCTGGCGATTTACTCGGAAGTCCCAGCAGCTTCTACTGAAGCCAGTCCCCAACTCCGGGGACTTCCGGCCGGGGACTTCGGGTGGCAGTATACGCCGTGAAGTTGTTTGCGGCCTGCCAGTAAACCCAAAGCAGAAGAAGAAGAAGTGACGTCAGCGGCTTCATTTGCGTAATCTTCCCTCAGGGAACTTATTCCGGTGTGAACACGATCGGCTCTTTAGTTCAATTTTTTATTTTTATTTAGCCTTTATTGATACAGGTGTAAAATCTCATTGAGACACAAGGTCTCATTTTCAAGAGAGACCTGTCAGTGGTAACACTACCACACAAAGTTACAGACAGACAGGACACTAAACACAGAGGCAACACTAAAATACAACATCGTAAAAAAAGTAGTCATTGAAATCCATATACAGTAGTTAGATATAGCAGGTGCAAACACCCACAGATGATTTCTCCAGCTTTTTTAAAATTAGTTTAAAATCCGTGATGGGTATCAAACTGGTCAGCTTAAGTTCCTGCTGAAGTGTGTTCCAGGTCGAGGGGGCAGAGTATGATATGGCTTTATTCCCAAGCACCGTGCGAACTGGGGACGGACAGAGTGATGTAATTTTGAGATCGTAGGCTATAGCTGTACTGTTTGTGTGATATGTAAGTGGATATGTAGAGGGGCAGCAGTCCAAGCATAGCGGTATAGATGAGTTTGTACCAGTGCAGTGATCTGCGCATTGATAATGATGTCAAGTTGACTAAAGAGTACAGCGTGCAATGGTGTGTGAGGGGTTTACAGTTGGTTATCCATGGGGGTACTAAGTGCTGGGAACTAAGTACGGCAAAGTACTTGGTGTGAAAGCGGCTATAATTCTTTTAGCTGTTTTACTGGAATACAGACATCAGTTTTTCTGTTGCCATTTTATTTTAAACGATGAGGATTCCTTTGACGCATTAAAGAAGTATTTACCATGTGTAACGTATGTCTCATTGGCAGCTTTAGGGCATTTTTTGTGAAATCAATGTGTCTGTAACTTGGACCGGAGGATTTTCTGTCCCTCAGTGTTTCCTTTTTTCACCAGGGTTCAGTCCATCACTTATATGCACTCTCAGTTTGAAGTCCTGCCAACACTACCTTCCCTTTAAATATGGATTACCTCAATATATTGACCTCGTGTCTAAAGCTGGCTCTGTGCACCTTGTTACATCCTACTCAGGACCAAAGTTTAGGCAGTGATGATGTAAGACGTTCACATTACACAACTGCACTGCTGCTGCTCCAGATATTTTTAATACAGATGCTCTGACATAAGTCTTGAATCTTTACCTACCACCATATCTTAAAGGGGACCTATCATGCAAAATGCACTTTTGTACGTCTTTTATACATGAATATGTGTCCCCGGTGTTCCAGGGAACTCACCAAGTGTCAGAAAACACAACCCTCTCTATTTTCCTCCATACCCAAATCTCTAAAAAAGGGGCTGCAACGGATCTGATAAAAACTGATCCAGATTTGAACACTGTCCTGACGTCAGGACGGTGGCGCTACGGCTATTGGGCCAACTCCACCAATCAGGAGGAGACAGCCACGGCCATTGCCGTTCGAAAGCGCTGGAGACGCTGTAGTACATATGCCAGGCCTCTAGATCAGTGGTTCTCAACTGGTTAGGCCTCGGGACCCACTTTTTACTTGGTCAATACATCGTGACCCAACATTTTGAAGCACTCAAATCTATTCAACAAAAAATCGTGCTGTAATATATACGCTTTTCAGAATACAATATTAATAAAAGTGAAGTACAGTGCATATATCCCTTCACAGAACTAAAGTATGCTTTTAAAAAAGGTTTAATGAGATAATGGAATCAAAGCTGAACCCCAGGAGATTTTTAGAAATACTAACATAAACTACGCATTCTGGTACACTCTGAGAAGAAAATAAATAAATCTATTACTACCCGATATATTAATAATATTTTATGCCATTGTTTGTTTTTCACTTAGTTCTGACAGCTTGCTGAGAGAAGAGTAAAGAGGAGATTCTGTGTGACTTACTTTAAATTGTGGGTAAGGGTAGATAGCTCCCATTGTTCTGTGACCTGTCAATCATCAAACCGGGGGTCATATTTCATTATGTGTTCATTTTTTATCTGAAGTTGTACCCATGGATGTATAAAGAATAGTTCTACCTCAGTTATTCTCCGTGGGGACTTCGGGCAACAATCTTGATTCTGATTGGCCAGAAGACTCGAAAAAACATCAGCAGAGATGTTTTATTGAGAAGATGATCACTACGTGACAGAAGTTTTCAAAACCATTTATGGTCTCCGGTACTTCCAGTCCAACGCCTACTGCATGCACAGCGTTAGAAAATCGGTCCTTCAAAATAAAAGCTTGGATTTTTCCCCCAAAAAAATCTGCCCTTGCTAAAACAGAGCTAGAAATGGTCAAATTGAGCAAAATGAGGCATGGCTAAAATGCATGATCTGTTTGGTATTTTGAAAAAAAAAAGTATAAATATGCCTTATATAGGTATGGTCCTACACTATATTATTCAAATATAGCATGATAGGTCCACTTTAAAGAAACAGCTTTGGATATTTAGTTTGACTTCTTATTCTCTTAGGCTTGATCTCATTACTGATGCCATTACACGTTCATTTAAAAAGCACATTATGTTGGAAATGTGGAAATCATTACATTACATTTCATCTAGTTGCTTCTTTTATCCAAAGCGACTGACAATAAGTACAATCAAAGTACATAACGTTCAAATAAGCAGCGCATTTCTTTATATTCAAAATCAAACTAGAGCTGTGATACTAATCTAAGAACAGTACAGTGATATGGTAAGTACGGTTTGTCGTTCCTAAATGAAACTATGGATACTTAAGTAAACTTGTCATCATTTATCGTTTTCGAGCTTTAAATGCACTTATTTTTGAGCACCACAAACCATATAGTTCCATTATATTGGAGAGAAGTCTATATCTATATGACCAATACCTCCAAGACTCAGCAACTCAACCCAAAACAATCCAGATATCCAATAATTAGATTATAAATAGCGCTACAGGTAAGACTACAAATATGTTTGTTTGATTTTGGAGTAAGTTGTCCCTTTTTTAAATGGCATGTGTTTGTAAAAGATGGCCCTTTTTATGTCTTTATTAGGACCTCAGTGGGCTTTACAGATTAAAAACAAATAACAACATTGTAAATAATGGAGTTACAGCAAAATGAAAAGACAAGATAGTGTATGTAATACAAATAGAAATACAAAATAAATAAGATAACAACAAAAGACAATAAAAATACATAAAGCATTCAAATTATTCAAATTACCATCAAAATCAAATCAAATGAATACCATAAAATGCGAGCTCTACCAGGGTGTCCGCGGGGTCTTAAAAAGTATTAAAAGTTGTTAAATCAATTTAGCGAAAATTAAGGCTATTAAAAAGTATTAAACGGCATTTTCCAAGGTATTACATTTGGTAGCTTGTTTTCAATAAGTATATAAATTGTCTAAAGAGGGTGTATTCTACAGTTTGCCTGAATGTAATCATTGCGTAGGTGTGTAGTGTGATTCTGTGTAGTTTATTTATGGCATCCCGTTGGATTGGACGTCATCTGAACAGGACATCGCACGCTCACTGCTTGATAGCGCGTGAAGGTCCGTTTACGCCGGTTGTTAAACAACATCGTTATGGGGAAATGCAAGTCTGCGTCCAAATGGTTGGAAGATAAGGAGGAAGGACAATCAATACTGTATATAGTAAATGTGAGGTAAAGTGTGTCGCCAATGTAACCGGTTAAAACTCGAAGTGGCGATGAGGTCTTAAAATGTATGGAAAGGGTCTTAAAAAAGGTCTTAAAAGGTTTTACATTTGACTTCAGGATTCCTGCATATACCCTGTCTAACCGAAGGCTTTGTTAAAAATGTAGGTCTTCAATGTACTTTTAAAAGTTTGGACACTCTGCCTCAAATAGGGTATAAGAAAAAAAAAACACTCGTGTCTCTAAAGAGATATGATTTTCAAAACTGTACTTTTAATATAATGTGACTCCAAATAAAGAATTGAAAAGGAAGAAATCTCTCCTTTGATCAGTGAATAAACTGAATTGTCTCTCTGTCCCTCCCCTGTGCAGATAACACGGGGAACACCAGCTATCGGCCACCCCCCCGCACTAAGGAGGTGGTGATCAACCAGCAGGTGGTGAAGCTCAAGTACTGCTTCACCTGCAAGATGTTCCGGCCCCCCCCGCACCTCCCACTGCAGCCTGTGTGACAACTGTGTGGGTGAGCTGACATTCACACACCATGCATAATAAATACAGGCCTCACAGGGAACATCATCCCATCGCCGGGGATCAGGCTGGATCCATTGATAGGATGGGATGATTGATGAGGAATAAAATAACTAATAATTGACTATTTTGACTGATGTTGCAATTGTGTTATCATTTCAAATATTGGAGGGAAAGACTATTTTTAAAACTTTATGATTGAAATGATCATTCCCTTTCATATTGTATTAAAGGTCACCTATTATGCAAAATCCACTTGTTCATGTCTTTTCTACATCAACATGTGTCCCCTCTGTGTAAAGAGACTCTGAAAGTTTCAGGAAAAAAGATTCTCTCTCTTTTTGTCCTGATCCATTTATATAAAAACCTGTCTGAAAATGAGCTGATCAGATTTTGGCCACTTTATGATGTCATAACGATTGTTTGGCTTGTGTAACCATTAGCCAATCACCAACCAAGGTAACCCCCCCCCCCCCACCTTATCCCCTGAATCTCCTCCTAGAGCACCATTGTGTTCTTTTTAACCAAATCTCTCTCAGAGGGGCGTGGGGAGGGGCTCCTTATTTTCATCTAAAGTAACAGACAGAGAATCAGCACTTTGGAAACAGGGCTGAAACAGAGGGGATTATGGGATGCTGCAATGATCTGTTTAGTGTTTGGAGACAAACACTTCAGAGACATGTTTTGTATATATCTGAGAGCTATAATATATTGATGAAAAACAGTATAATAGGGGACCTTTAGATAGGTTTGTGTGCATGTAAATGGTCTGCAAAGGCTAAAATCCCTGTTATCCCTCCAGAGGATTTTCTCTCCCACTCATCAATTCATTGCGCATCCCTTTTCATCAACATGCGTTTGTTTTTCAGAGCGGTTCGACCACCACTGCCCCTGGGTGGGGAACTGTGTGGGAAAACGCAACTACCGCTTCTTCTACACCTTCATCGTGTCGCTCTCCTTCCACACCGCCTTCATTTTCGGCTGCGTGACCACACATCTGGCTCTGAGTACGTGTGTTTCTTTGCTCCGGTTCACAGGTGTTTCATGGTTTAAAAACAGGCAGGATGTTACTGATAATACCTGCACACACACCTGGCTGTAACAGCACCTGTGTGTGTGTGTTGTCTCTTTCTGATGGGCGGGGCTAACCACATCAGAGCAGGTTAGCTATCTGATAAGAAAAATATACAGTTTTTACAGTACAATGTTTGTTTTCTCCAGTTTTTTTTAAGGTATAAGGTGTCTGTGTCCCACTGGCCATTCACAGAGTATTCAAATGTTATTTCATCCAACAGCCAGTTTACATAAGAGTTAGAATATTCGAGCGTGACCTTGGTGCTACTGCTCCCACATCAAGAAGATTAACCAAAACAGTTTTTAGGAACTACGCACTTTTTCTATTTGATGGAATTGAGTCAGAGTTATTTGATTTGCTGCTCTGAATAGCTTCATTCCTGTTTCTGCACCGTTGATAAAGATTAGGCTACAGTTATATTATTTGTATTTGACTGTTCAGTAATAATAGTACATCTTATTTATAAAGGGATTTTTAGGGTACTCAGTTTAAATATACAGTGTAATTCATTAAAAAAATAATTAAAGCAACACACAACAGAAAAAGGATTACATTTCTGTGGTTGGTGCGTAGGATTGACTCGTGTGCTTCAAACATTCAAAAATTCCTATCATGTTTCAACAAAGTTTATATTTAGTTTAGTCTATATGTGTTAGAGTCAAGCTTTTCAATGACGGCATTTCTATTGCAACCAAAAACTGGTTATCTCTCTAACTAGTTGCACACAGTTCCTTGTATTTCCCACACTTTTATAGTAAATAACTGTTGTAAAAAAAAAATGTATATCTGCATTTGTTTGGGGATACATCAAGGCATCACCACTTTCATACCAAACGATAATTGGAGAAAAGACATGGAAAAAGTGGCCAGTTTGGGAGCATTTATTGGTTATTTAAAGGGGACCTATCATGCAAAATGCACTTTTTTGATGTCTTTTATACATAAAGATGTGTCCCCGGTGTGTCGGGGAACTCACGCAGCGTCAGAAAATAAAACCCTCTCTCTTTTCCTCCGTACCCAAATCTCTAAAAACGGGGCTACAACGGAGCTGATCCAGATTTGCGTCCGATATGACGTAATATCGGAAATGTAGGCTGGCTTTACACCCACGGCCCTATCAGAAACGTTGCTATCAGAAACAATGCCCGACTGTTTTGGACGTAATATGGTCGGTGTTTACATTAGCATCGCTAACACTCAGAGCTAACCTGTACTGGAGAGCATGTGTGTGAAGAAGCAGGAAATAAAAAGGAACTCACCTTGTGGTATAACCGGCAAGAGAGAAAGCCTTTGAGCTCCATACTGTTTCAGAAATAATCCTTGATAATCCATGATATGGCGTTTCATCACGGCAGTATTTAGTTTAGACAGTAGCTGCCGGGTCCCGCATGAGCTCAGCCCCCTACTTCTTTATTTTTTTAAAGCTTTATACCCAAATCAGCACTTTTGAAACAGGAAGTGAAATATAGGGATATGAGGCATGGCTAGAATGGGTGATCTGTTTGGTATTTTGAGCAAAACTCTTCATAGACATGTTTTTTATATATTTGTATATATCTGAGACCTATGCTATTGCCTAAAAATAGCATGATGGGTGACCTTTAAATAAAAGTCAAACGCATTTAATCAAAATGACTTTATTCAAACTTAGAATATTGTTTGAGGATGTTAAATATTTTTAAGGGTGATGCCACACTTTGAAAAACCTTGAGAAACTTCAAAAACATATATTTTATTTTCATTTTAATGTTGTGTTGCTGTTTTAATATTTGAATTGAACTTTTTACATTTTATTTTATTTCCTTTTTATCACCACTGTAAAGCGTCTTTGAGCACCTGAAAAAGCGCATAGAAATTAATTTTATTATTATTTTACAATTATTTTAATCTCTCGTAATTCCTCCTCTCTTCCAGGAGCTCAGGGGGGGAAAGGCCTGGTGTTCGCTCTGCAGGAGAGTCCCGGCAGATATCCTTTAATCATGAAGGTTTCTCTCAGTGAACATGTATTATTCACATTTCTCCCTGCTCTAATAAACCTCCTTGACTCAGCCTCTCACTGCAGTGGAGCTGGTGATCTGCTTCTTCTCCGTCTGGTCCATTTTGGGCCTCTCAGGCTTCCATACATATCTGGTAGCCTCCAACCTGACCACGAATGAGGACGTGAGTACGCTGCAATAATGGAGAAGCTTTGAAAGGGATTTTTTGTTTTGGTTTGTTGTGGGTCAACCTTAAGAAAGTTTGGAATATTCCTAAAATCAATTATTATTTTTAATTAACTGTCAGTAATTGTCAAGTCTTCTCCGTTTTTTGGTGCAGTTTCCCCACTTGAAAGGGACTTGAAACATCTACTGGACTTTTAACAGGATTCCACTCCAATGAAACAGCAACTGTTACTTTCTCAGTCTTTTATTTCAGTAGTTTACTTCAAAACCAAAGGTCCATTCGGTTGCTTAACGGGTCTTTAGGTGAAAAACCTTTGAAGACAAGAAAGATGCATTGGACAACTTGCAATAGTCATTAAAATGAATAAAGCATGCAAACAATACACTGACACTGCTGCCTTATTTACGAATATTTTACAAATAAACTGGGCAGACTAAGAACAGAAATATAAATGTTAAACATGAAATCAATTATCTAAATCACATGTGTCAAACTCAAGGCCCGGGGGCCAAATAAGGCCCTTGGTGGATTTAATTTGGGCCCGCAGGATAATTTTTAAATTACTATTAGATCTGTCCCGCCGGTCTTAAACACTCAACATTTTTATAGAAAATTGAAGAATCTCTTCTGTTTGTATCCACAAACTTTTTTTATAAGGTTCAGTGGGGTTAATGAGAAGTTCTAAATCCAACACCTGGGACACTAACCCAAGTATCTAATGACGTGGATGTTGAATAAAGCTGGTAATAAATAGGTGTTCTCATCCTGTGTGTCCCAGATTAAAGGCTCGTGGTCGGGGAAGAGTGGAGAAGATGTGACCAACCCTTACAGTCAGAGAAACATCTTTGTGAACTGCTGCTCTGTGCTCTGTGGACCCATGCCCCCCAGGTCAGTGGGAACTTGGTTTTATTGAAGTAACACATATGCATGTAAATAATTAGGAATGAGCAAAAACCACATCCTCAATCAGGGACTCATAAATCCAACAATCAATTTAGCATTCTGCATTTTTGATGATGAATCCTGTGGGGGGAAACCTCTGCAACAATAGGATTCAGGACTCAAAAGAGAGACACGAGATCACTGACGGTTTATTTGGAGCTCGGCCGGAGAATTCACAAGACATGTCACAGGCCACGGTTTGACCACACGGTTGAGATGCCACAATCAATTCTGAAGAACCCTCCTGTAGCTCGAGGTTTTAACTAGTTCAGAGTGTAATAATCAACATTCTTCAATAGATAGACTAAACAGCTGAGGACACTGAATCACATTTGTTTGTCGCTTATGGCTCGGGGTCATCTACACCCCGAGAAGGATGTGTTCCAGGTGTCCCACAACAATAACTATCTCTCCCCGAGAGGTGCCCGGTCATAAACTGGTAACAACAACAACAACTTGCTAGGGCAGCCCCTCCTTAAGGGAGATAACGGCTGCCCTAGGTTGGGCATCTGCGTCAGAGGGCGAAAGGTAAACATGTATACAGAATTATTCCCTGACAAATCAGTTGTTAAAATTGTTGTTGGAACATCTTCTGTCGAGCTCTAAGCCTTGACTCTTTCATTTGAAATCCCTGACATTAACAAGAAATATTACATTTAGTTAGCTTCTGCACTAGGGCTGAACAATTATTCTAACCTTTAACCCTTGTGTTGTGTTCGAAAGCTGTTACCGTTCATGGTGTTCGCGGGTCAAGTTTGACCCATGATTTATCTCAGTCCAAAACACTCAAAATAATGACTATGATCCAATATTGTTTTAACTACATCTAACTTATAATGCATTCATAACCGTACAATCCTGTTGTCATTTAATGTTATGGCCCAAAACACATTACACCACATATTGCACACGTGCATGTGTGTGTTCAGGTTCAAGTGTTAGTGTACATATTATTTGAGAAAGGTTGAGTTCCCGTGGGGGGAAGGGGGCAGAGGGAGGGGAGACCAGGTGCATGTTGCGAAAACATATTGTTACAGTTTATGAAGGGAGTGGGGGAGGGGTGTCTAAAGTCAAAGATTAATTTTGATTGGGCCAAATTTGAACCCGAGTCACCCCCAACAATTCTGCTGGGTCTTCCCAGACCCGAACACCAAATTATACACTTTTTTTTTTTTTTTAGAGACCTTCAGACTTGGCTAAAATTGTCCAAATCAGTTTTGTAGTGTTTATATATCTGTTGTGGAGGATATCATGAAGCCTTGTTCCGATAAAAATAACTAGAGCGTAGTTATTATATAATTTTAACTTGAAATGGGTCACGAGAGACCCGAACCCAACATAAGGGTTAAAGAAATTGCAAAATGGAGAAGTGAAATATCGAAATTGCAAGTGCAACATTTGAAAAAAGTAAAATATGTGGAAAATATCTGAATTCTGCAGAACCAATTAAAAAAACCTTGTTTGGTACTGATGCTCTTAAAAAAAAATAAGACTGACTTTTGGGGATATAAGCCTTTGTTGACCATTTACACGCACACAATCCTATAGAACACACTACGGGAAAGAGAAAACCCTAAAAAGCATAATTATTTCTATATCACTGTAAATTAGAATAATGTTTAACAAATGATCATTCCCTTTTATATTGCAAATCATATCGCAATCAGTACGAGTCAAAAAGAATTACAAATGTTTTTTTTCCCCCAATGGTGCAACCCTAATCTCCACCCCAGTATCTTGTTTTACTTAAATGTGCTTGCCAATAGGATGTGACAGAAGGCAAGGCAAGATTATTTATCTTTCAACACAAGGCAATTCAGTGCTTTACAAAAATGAAAGACATTAAGAAAATTGCATTTAAAAACGGACATTAAAAAGCAAAGATAATAAAATAAACATTAAAAAAAATACATGAATAAAAGTTACAGTGCAGATTAAAGGTGGGGTAGGTAAGTTTGAGAAACCGGCTCGAGATACACTTTTTGTTATATTCCATGGAATGCTATTAACATCCCGATAGCAATGAATATATTAAATGCTTTGACAAAAAATCCATAAAGAAATGTCATCTGTGGAAGCCGTAATACTGTAAAAAGCACGACCAATCATCTGAGCCGGGCCGGCTAAAATAACTGGATGGCCTACCTGCCTGTCAGCCTTCCATCGGGGCACAAACTTATCTCGTGCCCTCATTGGTCATGTGCGCGTTCGTGTGTGTTGGAGGAGGGGCTCTGTAAGGAAGTGGCAGATTTTCTCCGGTTGTGTATTTTCAAATTCTAGCGCACTCGAGCTGGTTTCTCAAACTTACCTACCCTACCTTTAAAAGCAGGGACAAAGAGCAAAGTCTTCAGCCTGGATTTAAAAGTAGTAAGAGTTGCAGCGGACCTGCAGGTTTCTGGTAGTTTGTTCCAGATATTTGGCGCATAACAACTGAACGCTGCTTCTCCAGAAACATGTATTTCTAAATTTGTAGATATTGAGACTAAAAGCACGCCTGCTGATTCAAATCTTTATTGTTTCTCAGCCTGATCGACAGACGGGGCTTCCTGCCGGCGGATGAGTCTGTGCAGACGGCCGGCGCTGACATCGAGCTGCCCGATCTGGCCAATAAGAGCGAGATAAACGTGGTAGGAGGATCCTCACAGCTGGCACCCCCCTCCCCTGCACCCCCCTCCTCCCAAAATAACTCCTCCTCTGCCTGACGGGAGCCTTGTTGCCTGCTGTAGCTCAACATCTGTCCGCTGCCTGTTGTTGAAGGGCTAATCCCTGCATACACTGTATTAGTTCAACCAGTATTTATGACGTTACTCACTGCAAAAATAGGGTGAAATTCGGTGAATGCTGGCATGATTTATAATAGCTGGAATGAAATTGAAAAGCAGGGATTAAGACTAAGCTAAAATGAATCAAGTGCTCATACATTTGGTAAATAAAGTATACTGTTTGCTTCTTTCATGTATGCCAAACACTGGAATCTGTCACTTTAAGGAGTCACTTTTCAGAGAGTGAGATCAATATCCATCTAATGTCTGTGTGTGAAAGCTAGCTGTTAGCTTTAGCTGAGCAGCAGTTATTCATTTGTTGTAATGGGGAAATGGAAACAAGTGTAGAAGTAGCACGAATACAGTTCAACTGATTCAGATATGCAGCTGTATGCCCTCGTAGGTTTGCTAACATACAAGCTACTGGTCTTACTAGAATACGTTTTGCAGGACTGAATGCCATTTCTAATGATTTCAACTTTTCAAAGTTACATTTTTGTTTTAAGTTCAGCATTGGAGTCGGGATCAGGAGTCAGGCATTTGATCTTACTTTTTTTAGGGGCAATGTTGTGCTGCACCCATTACCTCTTCCAGTTTTTTGGTAAGAAAAAAGCCTTAACATGTAACTCTGAGATCAGAACTTGATTTTTTTGCAATCTTTTTTCAGTATGGGCTAAAGTCACTTTGACCACAACATTGAGAAGTGACGGTAGCGGTAATCTAATATTTCCCTCTTAGTTAAACCCAGGTTAACTTGTCTCTTATGTCAAGTGTTTGTGCTATGCTAAGCTAACCAGCTGCTGGCTGTAGCTTCATATTTAGCAAACAGGCATGAGCGTCTTACTCTTGGGGTAAAAAAAAAAGCAATAATCCAACAAAACCATTCCTTTAAATTGAGATGTAGTACTGTGTTGTGTTGCCTTGTTATTGTGATGAGTTTACACACCTGCTTCAGGCAGCTAATCTATATATACCTCATGGAAATGAACATAATAGTTGTTTTTTAATTGAGCAACAGGGATACTGTTCACTATATTTTTATATGACTAGTGGTTACCTTTTGTATCACAAATCTCCACCTCAGTGTCATGTGCAGTATGTGGGGTGTTTTAAGAGGGAGGGGGAGTTGTATTAAGACTCTGAGGCTGTGTCCTCTTCCCTCTCTGGTTGTTTTTCTGAAAGTTAGTGATATGAAATGTGTGTGGAGTTGTACAGAAACTTTTGCTTACATCTGCGGTGCAGTGCTCTCATTTCAAGTGGAAAAGAGAAGCTGCTGTTTGGAAAATATTTTTCCTTCACACCAAAAGAGTCAGCTGTAAAGGGTTGTGTACACATTGGTGTGTACGGAGTAGACTCAAAGTGTTTTGTGGGAGTGAACAATTGTCTTGAGTTGACATCATGGTGAAGCTGTGAGCTGTTTGTTTTATAGTTGTGGTTTACATTTGTATTTAACATGTTACTTGTTTGCATATAAAGTCAAAGTGCCAAATCATTTCATACTTTCCTTCATGTCTACATTTCACTGTTTTTGTGTGATTTGTCTTGTTTTTATACATCTATTTTGTAAGTTTTACTGACATGTAAAATAATAATAAAACATTTTTTTATCCATGCATTTCATCATCTGTGTCACTCATTTCATTGTCTGTCCACCCTCAAAAACAGAAACGTTTTACTTTTCTACATTTCTAGACTTAAATTGAACGTGGATATTCTTAAGAATTAACGTGCTGGATTAATGACAAAAAACTCACATTTAAAGATTTAATATTGTCCAATGTTAAAGGTGGGGTAGGTAAGTTTGAGAAACCGGCTCGAACACTTTTTGTTATATTCCAATGCTCTTAACATCCCGATAGCAATGAATATCTTAAGTGCTTTGACAAAAAAATCCATAAAAATATGTCATCTGTGGAAGCTGTAGTACTGTAAAAAGCACGACCAATCATTTCAGCCGGCTAAAATAACTGGATGGCCTACCTGCCTGTCAGCCTTCCATCTGTGCACAAACTTATCTCGTGCCCTCATTGGTCATGTGCGCGTTCGTGTGTGTTGGAGGAGGGGCTCTGTAAGGAAGTGGCAGATTTTCTCCGGTTGTGTTTTTTCAAATTCTAGCGATCTCGAGCCGGTTTCTCAAACTTACCTACCCCACTTTTAAGTCATAAATTCAGGAGAATAAACTGAAATATTTTCTGTAATTGAAGTGCTAGATTTACTACAAAAAAATCCAAATTTAGAAGCGAAAAACTGGAACATTCTGCAACATTTTAAGGTCAAAATTACGAGAAAAAATACACTTGGCTTTACAATTCAACATTGCTCCAAAGATGAAAACCCCTCCCACATATCGGGAATTTTGTATACATTTTTTTTACCTACAACGGCCCCTTAAATCCTCCCATATTACAATTCAAATTTAGTTTAATCATATTTTTGAAGGGAAAAAGGCCATTAACAAACAGCCATTGTGCTCCCTGTTTGTCTCCATCCATTCCTAACTGTGTGTGTGTCCTTCCTCACGAGGAGGGGGAGTGTCTGGACTTTGCGGTGTCCTGCGGTGGCTGAGCAGCCTCTGTTAGAGCAGGAAAAGCGAGTTCGGTAAGCCTGTTCAGAGAGAGGGAGAGAGAGAGAGGGAGAGAGAGAGAGAGAGAGAGAGAGAGAGAGGGAGAGAGAGGGAGAGAGAGAGCAGAGTCTGAGCACCCTGCTGTCTGCCGGCTGAATCCTGCATGGCTTTACTCACACTGCTGCCATGTTATACACACACTGTCGAATGCATCATTTAACACAATACAGTGCATGCTCTATGGAACATGTATTCACAATGCACTGATGTGTAGATATTATTTTCCTACTTCTGATGTGCATCAACATCAGAGAGATCAATGGCATGAAACACCTGCTTATAGTAGCTTCATTTATAGAGTTTCTCATCTTGTTGACCTACAAACTTTTCTACATCTAAATCTACAACCATTCAGCAGATTCTTTAATTGGTGCAGCAGTTTTGGCGGTGTGTGGCGCAGTGGGTTTTGCGTCAGTGTTGGGATCAGGGGGTTGAGATCAGGGGGTCACAGGTTCAAACCCCACTGCAGTCAGCATGTCGTTGTGTCCCTGGCCAAGACACTTCACCCCAAATTGCTCCTGTGGGGATTGCCCACAGTATTGAGTATGTAAGTCGCTTTGGATAAAAGCGTCTAACAAGTCACATGTAATGTAAAGAAGTCGTATCAAGTTCTTCTAACTGGACAAATGGCCAAACTCTAGAATGATATTTGAGCTCTTCTCAAATATGAGTGTCTAGTTCTGATGAGCCTCGACATCAGAAAGAACTATGAGTTCATGAAACATCTGCTTGCATGGCAGCTTGCGTGTGAGTGAGCTTCCTCCAGCTGTTACACCTCTTCCTCGGCTCATCAACTTCTTGTCTTTTTCCTTGTTTCCCAAAAATCATAACACATTTTTACTTCTTCCTAGGTTTATATATTGCAATTTTTATTCTATTTAATTTGATCCTTTATCGTGTATGTTAACCTTAATTTATGTTATTCTATTCTATTTTATCCTTTTTGTCAATTTTTACTTTAAAGGGGACCTATCATGCAAAATGCACTTTGTGATGTCTTTTATACATAAATATGTGTCCCCGGTGTGTGAGGGAACTCACGCAGCGTCAGAAAATAAAACCCTCTCTCTTTTCCTCCGTACCCAAATCTCTAAAAACGGGGCTACAACGGAGCTGATCCAGATTTGCGTCCGATATGACGTAATATCGGAAATGGGGACCCACGGCACTATCAGAAAGTTGCTATCAGAAACAATGCCAGACTGTTTTGGACGTAATATGGTCGGTGTTTACATTAGCATCGCTAACACTCAGAGCTAACCTGTACTGGAGAGCATGTGTGTGAAGAAGCAGGAAATAAAAAGGAACTCACCTTGTGGTATAACCGGCAAGAGAGAAAGCCTTTGAGCTCCATACTGTTTCAGAAATAATCCTTGATAATCCATGATATGGCGTTTCATCACGGCAGTATTTAGTTTAGACAGTAGCTGCCGGGTCCCTCATGAGCTCAGCCCCCTCCCTTTTTATTTTGTATCAATTTTTTTTTTAAAGCTTTATACCCCAAATCAGCACTTTTGAAACAGGAAGTGAAATAGAGGGATATGAGGCATGGCTAGAATGGGTGATCTGTTTGGTATTTTGAGCAAAACACTTCATAGACATGTTTTTTATATATTTGTATATATCTGAGACCTATGCTATTGCCTAAAAATAGCATGATAGTGACCTTTAACTTGTTTCTTATAATAATTATTTTTATTATATTTCTTTGTATTTTGTGTTATAATTTTTTACTTCAAACTAATTTACTTATTATTTGAATATTTTGAATGTTATCCTTTGTTGCACATGTTTATATACATATTTACATTTTATATTTTGATCCTTTTCGGCGAAAATGTACAATAACTTTCTTAAAATATATATATTTCAATACTTTATTGCAACCTTTTAACTTTAACATCTTCTGTTAATATAAACATTTATATTTATATATATTTTTAATATTTACAATAACTTTCTTATAATGAATCAATTTTTTATTTTAATTTATCCTATCCTTTAGCTGTTACACCACTTCCTCGTCTCATCACTTCTTGTATTTTTCCTTGTTTCCTCAGTGCACACAGGGAACTAAAGGTCTGCTGGAGTCGGCCACTCTCCCCCCGCTCCTCTCCACCTCGTGTCCTCAGGGGAAACCTCCCACTGACCCCACTGTGAACTTTGACCCCTCGCCGGAGATCTCCACGAGTTGCAGCGGTGCCCGACACGTCCATCACTCCCGAGGCCGGGCATCTACGCCTCGCCACACTAAGACTCGGTCAAAGAAAAACAAACGAGCAGCTTTGCAAATGGCCAACCCTTCCTTCGATGTCCCCGTGTCCCCCTCCTCTCCGGACGCTGGCCCCAGCTCCAAAGCCAGGGGCCACAAAGGTGACAGCTTTTCACATTTTCAATGACAAAAAAAAAGAAAGAAATGGCAGCTTTTTTCAAGTGATTACACACATTGTTTGAAGCTTGCATGCTGTAACACAGTCAGATACAAGTGTTATGAGTTCAAAAATGTTTGTTGTTTAGTTAGTTCTTTGAAAGCTCTGGAAGATATGCATTTGTGTGTTCAATAGAGTGCTGCAGTGATGACGTATTTTTGTAGGCAGACCTGGAAGTAAGCATTGCAATCAGAATCAGAATCAGAAACAGGTAGGTTTACACTTACGAGGAATTTGATAGGTGTTGTGGTCCATACATAAAAGTAAAACAACAATTAAAGCACACAAGCTCCCTAAACAAAAAGCAATGGGATTTTTCCATTGGATTGTGGAATGGTGCAGAAACTAGGATCTTTGGCAAACACATGTTCTCCACATCTCCACATATTAACACCACTTTATGATTTTTGCAGCGTAAATGCAGAAGTAAAAAACGAATGTTAGGCTATAAAGGAACTACAATCATGGTCACATGACTTCACGTCACCACCGCTAAGCTAAAGGCGGCTAATGTTGGGCGTGATGACGTTAAGTCGTCTCATTTAGACACTTGTTAACAACCGCAGTTTTCAAATTCACCAGTCAGGTATCTACTGACGTGTTTAAAAACCGTTAAAATCTCTTCAGCTTGGGCGGTGGTGGCAAAGTCGATAGGGACTTGGCTTGGCAACTGGAAGGTCACCAGTTAGAGTCCCGGCAAGACCAAGTGCTACCGAGGTGTCCCTGAGCAAGGCACCGTTCCCTACACTGCTCCCCGGGCGCCGTCCACGGCAGCACACTGCTCCTAACACTAGGATGGGTCAAATGCAGAGGAACAATTTCGTTACATAGTACCTGTACTGTGAAATGACAATAAGAGCAATTTATAATTTATTTAACCACATACCTTATTTCAGGCATCTAACAGCTTAAAAAAACGTAACTTCGAGACACGGGAACCTCAAGTGCTAAAAAGCTGACTTATTTCCGGGTGTTAGGACTCAATCCTGCATCACTCTATTAATCGTTGAAATAGAAAAACTAGAGCAGATTGGAAGATGTCTGTCGGTAAAGGATGCAAAAAGCACATGAAAGGAGGAGATGTGTAAGATGGAGGAGCTGTACTGGTAGAGCCATATGCCTTTCTGATGATCCACATGTATAACATGAATTTTACCAGCATGTCAGATCCATCAAATGTTGTGAAATAGTAGCTATGATGAACAAACTGGAAGCTTGAAAAGCTTTGTGTGGTCTTTAAGGGGAAAGTCCTTGCCAAATATTGAATTCACATGTGTAATTTTCTATAACATTGTGCGATTTATAGCATGAACTTCAGCCAGTTTTCTGCTTAAGCTAAACAGCAGAGAGACAGTCTGGTGAGGTCATCCGGAGACAGTGGATAATGGAACAAGTCGTTGGAGCATTTTCAAGGATATGAGGAAAGTAATGCACAGATGAAACTTCCCTTACATATACAGATGGGTGACAAATTAAATCTCATTCAGCTCATTTTGGCTTCTAGGTTCTTGTAGCAGGGTCGAGTGGCACTGGGCTGAGATCATTGTCTAATGCTGTGTGCAC